CAATGTGAATACTGCCGGACTCATCAACACCCTTGACAAGTTGGGGGAGAAGGTTCGGTGGCCCAGGAAATCAGACAAGTCCAACGAACGACGAGATCCTAGCAAGAGATGTGACTTCCATGACGACATCGGACACAACACGGAGGATTGTGTCGCCTTGTGGAAAGAAGTTGCCTACCTCTTAAGAAACGGATACTTAACAGAGATCATGTCAGAACAAACGAAGTCCATGTTACATAGGAATCAGAAGTCGTCCATAGATCAGCAACGACCTCCTTCACCTACAGCGCCACAGAAGGTAATAAATTTCATTAATGGTGGTTCAGAGTTGTGTGGACTAACCTACTCTGCAGAGAAGAGACAAGCTCGGGAATATTCCCGAGACAAGTCGTCACAGGTGTGCCAAGTCGTGCGAAAGGAAGAAGCTTGGAGGAATGCGCCAATCACATTCGATGAAGCAGACCTGGCCAATCTTGTTGATGCTCATCATGACACCCTAATCATTGCGCTTAACGTGGCATACTGTGAGGTGAGACGAGTTTTGGTTGACAACGGTAGCACTGCCAACATCACAACGCTGAAGACACTGAAACAGATGGGGTACAAAGAAGAAGACTTGACTGCCTCCGGTTCCACCCTAGTCAGATTTAATGGTGAGCCAAGTCAAACAATAGGTATCGTTTCTTTACCTGTACATGCAAATGGTCTTAACCTGCAAGTGAAGTTTGATGTTGTCCAAGATCTGCCCGCTTACAACATGATTCTGGGGACACCTTGGCTACATCAAATGGGAGAAATCCCGTCAACATACCATCAGGTGATCAAATTTCCGACGCCATGGGGAGTGCAATCCATCCAAGGTGACAGGGCCGTTGCTAAATCATGATACCAGACCGCAATGAAGCCGACAACATCTGTAACGACTTCTACTTAGCAATTAAAGGGCGACTTCAATTCGGTCGGTGAAGATGATAACAACATTAAGGACATCATCATTGATCCATACTATCCTAATAGAGTCGTCCGCATTGGGAGCAACATGTCAACTCAGTTAGAGGAAGAACTTGTTACTTTTCTGAAATAGCATAAAGATGTCTTCGCCTGGAGCCACGATGACATGACGAGAAATGATCCACAAGTAATCACTCATAAACTGAATGTCAACCCTGCACATAAACATGTCAAGCAGAAAAGACGACGTTTCGCAAGGGAAAGGAACGACATCATCAATCAGGAAATCGAGACACTACTACGCACCGGTAAAATCCGCGAGGTAAATTATCCTAATTGGCTTGCTAATGTTGTTGTAGTGCAGAAGAAAAATGGCCACCAAAAGGGCAAAAAACCTAAGTGGAGAGTGTGCGTCGACTTCACTGCTAGTGGGAGGTAATCCCGCTAGCCACACAAGGGTTGGAAACTCAATGGATTGAGTTTCAGCCCTGATTACTCCAGGCTCCCCCCAGCCCCCCTTCCCCAGACCCCCCAGAGTAAAAAAAAAAAAAAAAAAAAAAAAGTGAATTCAAAATAAACGTACTATAAATACACAAGATTAGAAGACAGAATGCCAGAAACCAAGCCTTTAAATCTAGCCTCAAATAGTTGGAACTTTGGAAGCTTGAAACAGTGTTTCTCATCTTACTCCATCCATTCTACTACATGGCAACTTCTACTAGAGTCCCTTTTCCAGTCCATACTTTTGAATTCATACTCTCATTGTTTGCAGTCTTATCCCATATGTTTACTATCACCTCCTCTCAGTTGTTTGCTGTTGGGTTCTTTCTTTGTTTTTGACCCATGAGGAAAGCCCAACTTTAAGCCCATTGAAAGTCTTCTTTTGACTTTCTATTTTGTGAGCAAAATTAAAAAAAAACAGGGTCTGCCATCTATCAAAGATTCAAGGACAGAAAGAGAAGCAGAAAAGAGAACACAAGTCGAAAACATGAGCTGAGTGTGCTCATCCCGTTTTCCCAGCAGGCAGCAGCAGAAAACTTCCGTTTCCCGGAGATTGAACCGTTGGATCGTTTCACAGAATATGAGCCAACATTTAGGACGGTAGAGATCGGGTTTTGGGGTCCGGAGGTTTGGTTTCGCTGGTCTGGACAGTAGCTATTTTTCTGGTGATATATTTCTTATCTTGGCTCTATTTTGATTCCATACACCTTGATGTGCTTACTTCCAAAGATATGATGACTTTGTATGCCTCTAGTATTATCTAGAGAAGACTTTGTACTGCTCCTTTGATGATGATAGTGGATTTAAGCGGCCAAAATGGTCCGGTGGTTTTTCCCTTGTTAATGGGTTTTCCACGCTAAAATTCCGGTGTTTGTGTGTGTGGTGTGTGACTGTTTTAGCTGAATATATTGGTGTGTGGCGGCAATATTGTGTGTGTTCTAATTGCATTAAGAACACGCTATTTGTTTGCATCCTCAAAGGTTCATTCAAGTTGGGGAAAGTTTAGCCAAACAGAGATTAATTCCGCATTTTATTAGTTCCGTTTGTGGCTGTTTTTCCCATCAAATTGGTATCAGAGTCGAGTTCTTTTGTATCGAGTTAAACTTGTTTGAATGATGGAAGAAAACACAAGTAGGATGATCAATTTGAATGGTTCTAATTATCATGTTTGGAAAGGCAAAATGGAAGACCTACTTTATGTGAAGGATTATTATTTGCCTGTGTTTACTACTGATAAACCTGAGAGTAAAACAGATGCAGAATGGAATATTTTGCATAGACAGGTTTGTGGGTATATTCGCCAATGGGTTGATGATAATGTTTTGAACCATATTAGCGGGGAAACTCATGCTCGCAGTTTGTGGAACAAGCTTGAACAGTTGTATGCTCGAAAGACCGGGAACAATAAATTGTTCTTAATAAAACAGGTGATGAGCTTGAAATACCATGATGGAACTCCTGTCACTGATCATTTGAATTCTTTTCAGGGAATCATAAATCAACTTGCAGGAATGTGTATCAAGTTTGAAGATGAGATACAAGGCTTGTGGCTCCTTGGCACTTTACCGGACTCATGGGAGACTTTTAGGACATCATTGTCCAACTCTGCACCAGATGGTATTATCACCATGGAATTAGCTAAAGGCAGTGTTTTAAATGAAGAGATGAGAAGAAAGTCACAAGGTTCCTCTTCACATTCTGATGTCTTAGTTACAGAAAGCAGGGGGAGAAGTCAGAGTAGAGGTCCAGGTAACAAAGGGAAGCATCGAAGTAAATCCAAAGGAAAGTTTGCTGATTTTGAGTGCTATCATTATGGTAGAAAAGGGCACACAATACGATTCTGCAGGCAATTGAAAAAGGAGAAGCAGAAGAGCGATTACAACAATCAAAAGAACCATAAGAAAGATGAAGGTAGTAATGGCAATGCTGAAGTTAACACTGCTACCGATGAGTTCCTTATTTGTTCTGATCTTGATATGGTCAACATTGCACATGATGATTCCAGTTGTGTTATTGATAGTGGTGCTACGTGTCATGTAACATCACAGAGGGATTTTTATTCATCTTACACTCCAGGTAACTTTGGTAATGTTAGGATGGGTAATAATGGACTATCAAAGATTGCAGGCATCAGAGATGTTTGTTTGAAGTTTGATACAGGGATAGAGGTGGTTTTACATAATGTAAAACATGTTCCAGATATGAGACTTAATTTGATCTCCGCAGGCTTACTTGATGATGATGGTTACAGCAACAACTTTGGTAATGGAATATGGAAACTCACTCGTGGGTCTTTGATCGTGGCTAGAGGTAAAAGATGCTCAAAATTGTACATGACACATTCGAAGATCTTCAAGGATAGGGTCAATGCTGTAACACCGGACCTGAATTTTACCCAGATAAATTTTTTTCGTAAAGTACTTGGTTAAAGAAGGTAAATCAAGACTAAGAGTAGTCTTGATAAATGAGAAAGTAAAATTTTGTCCTAAATTAATAAAGGGTTATTAATTTAGATGTGGGACCACTCGTGGTATTTCAAGTTTATAAAATATTATATTATTGTCTACAAAAGTGATACTATTATGATAGTAGGGATGGGTCATGGACCCCAGTGATATAAAGAACAACAACTAGACGGCCAAGCGGACCGAGGTCACTATCCGATAATTGTGAATCATTAATTATCGGACTGATAATAATTTGGAAGGCTACGAATTAATAACAGAAGGAATATAAATATTTTAGGAACCCAAAATATGGGATGATGGATAATAATGAGTAACTTGACATATTAGAGGTAGGGACTTTTGGAGGACCCTACCTTGAAGATATTTTCATATAAGAATAAATAGATAAGATTTTATCTGCTTATACAGTTGGGACCACTTAAAAATAAGTGTAACATTTTATTAAAGTGTCACAAAATATGAAAACGCATATTTAGTCATGAGAAATGATGAATGAATTTTTGAGGAAACATGTTCTAATTTTTACTGTTACTTGAACAGTAAAATGCACGTTGGGCCCACACATGGGCGGGGACCATCCGATATTTACGGCCCACATATTATATTCATCTTGGTCTAGATGATATTTATATGAGGGTGTAAATAAATGTCGAGCCATAACGTTGGTCTTTCGATCAAACGAGGTCCCATTACCGGTATAGGTAATTAAACAGATAACGGCCCGAAATGAATTTCGGCGACCACTAAATTGAAGTTGGGTAATATATATTCATTTTAGAGGCCAATATTAATTGGAAGAATGATATATATTTTACTTAACCCGATAAAATAAAATATAATTAAAATAGTCCAGAAAATACAATTTTCGGGACCAAATACACACTTTGGGACATAAAGGGATGACCTCCCACATGAGTGGGGGCCACCCCATGAATTTATTCAACCAAACAGCTAAGGGGAGGGCTGGAGTGTGATGGGGTAGTGCTTTGAAAGTAATTGGAGACATATGGAATCAAAAGTACTTGGTAGGTCATGTATCTCACCATTATTGACAATTTAAGTCAATGAAACTCTCATCCACCTCCCTCACTCTTTCCATTTGACCCAACCCATAAAAAATAGATAGGGGAGCTCTGCAACTCATCATCCCCATAGCCATAACCGAGCTCAAGGTTGGAGGTTCAAAGGTTCAAGGTAATGAGTTCATTAGTATTTTTCTTCCTTAATTTAATATCATATGATCTTATAAATCATATGATGGACCTTTAATCTTGTTCTACACTTCTAGAGGTGTAGAGTGAGGATTTGGAAGGTTAAGTTTAACCATAAACGGAGTTATGACTGGAGTAAGACCGGTTTGCCGGAAAACACCTTCTCGGAAGGTTTTGATGTTGATACCACTTTTGGTTGTGAAACCTTGTTAGGAATTTTACCAAAGTATTCTAGACTTCTCAAGGAATCTAGGAGTGGCCGGAAAAGTTGCCGGAGCCGCCGATGTTTTCGCCGGAAAATTCAAAAGTCGCCGGAGTTCGAACAAAGAAGATAAAAGCTTGCTAGCGTCATTTCAAGGTGAGTGGACGACTACGTGTCTTGTAACTTTTGAGTCAAACGTGGGATTACGGCCGATTACCTAAATAAATTCATAATCATGATTTGAGAAATGATTAAATGGATTAAAATACATGATTAGTTATGATGAATATGAAATATGAAAGTATTATATGGTTAATGAATAAGAGATTAATTTGTGGATTAATCATGGATATATTATTGTCAAATGTATAAAAATGCATACTTGAACTATGTATGAGACTAACTAGATTAATCTAGTATGTGAGTATGTATAAAAATGATTAAAAGTGTTTAAATGTGTGATTAACCATATTGATTATAAATTAAGTGAAAGTGGCATGATTAATGAGTAAAGAATTACTAATATTATTGATGAAGACTAATCATGAATGATTACTTGGGAAAGGACTAAGGAAATTCAAGATGGTATTCTTGTGGAGGATTTAAGGATTAAATCACGCAAGCCACTAAAGTAAAATCTAGTTTATGAGAAATAAACTAGGGAATTATACAAGGTATAATTAACTAATATAAATGTTTTTGTTGGCTCATATGAGAAGTGACCAAAGTAATTCACGTATTATTGTTGTGAAGAATTAAAAAATGCTTAAGTATACATGCTACTAAGATGAACTAGTTTATGAGAAATAAACTAGAGTAATATACAAAAATGATTAACTAGTATCAATGACTTAGTTAATAATTTTGTGAATATAATATTCTAATTGAATGATGAACCATGAATGGCTCATTTTGTGAGGTGATTAAAGGTAATTCAAGGTGATATCCTTGTGAGGAATAAAAAGTGCTTAATCATGCAAGTTATCAAGGTGAACTAGTTTATGGAACAATAAACTAGAATAATATACATGGAAATGATTGGAAATATTCATATAAAGATTGTCTTAGACATAATATATATGGTGTAAAAATTTCGGGCCAAACGGAGCACGTTTCGGGGGTCAACTCTGAGGTCAACGGGCCGTTGACCCAAAATTCCGGACATACCCGGCGCCGGGTATAGGGCATACCCGGGGACGGGTAAGCTGCTGCCTCTGATTTCCGTTTTTGCCGAAAATGCGTATCGGGGCCCGAATTGAGGAGGAATTAACCCCGACCATCCTATATATGAATATTTTGCATGGAATTGCATGAAATATGATGTTTAAAATGCTAAGGATTGTAATACGGTTTAAACGCTAAGACTTGGACTAGTCATTAGTGAATAAATTATAGACCACGACCGGCCGAAGTACGTGGTAGATTATACATGGCGGGTGAATACCCGGGACCAAGTAAGGTTATATAATACTCTGTAGGACCAGGAGGAGTCCTCTACACTCAAACATTAACAAGGGCCCGTGTAGTCCTTGAGGTGTGTTAACCTCCAGCAAATTACACATAGGTAACAAGGGCAAATGCAGTCTTTGAGGTGTGGTATCCTCCATCAAATTGCATATAGGTAACAAGGGCCCGTGTAGTCCTTGAGGTGTGTTAACCTCCAGCAAATTACACATAGGTAACAAGGGAAAATGCAGTCCTTGAGGTGTGGTATCCTCCATCAAAGTGTATATAGGTAACAAAGGCAAATGCAGTCCTTGAGGTGTGGTTAACCTCCATCAAATTGCATATAGGTAACAAGGGCAAATGCAGTCCTTGAGTTGTGTTTAACCTCCATCAAATTGCACATAGGTAACAAGGGCAAATGCAGTCCTTGAGGTGTGTTAACCTCCATCAAAGTGCATATAAGTAACAAGGGCCCGTGTAGTCCTTGAGGTGTGTTAACCTCTAGTAAATTACACATAGGATGAGGGTGTATGCATACTCCTCGAGGCGGGGTTAACCCGGAAATGAAAACTATGATAGCAAGGACGGATAGTCCTCGAGGTAGGTGAACCTCGAAGTAATGCTTTTAAATGATTAAACGTGCTTGATCGGGAACGAGTTTCCGATAGAATATTTTCCATGGTCTAGGAATTGATTTAAACCATGTCCATGATATGGGAGTCCAAAGGGCCCCCCGATATTATATTTTGATATCGGGTGAGTCAGCCTGCGGGTGACTCCACTCGAGGGTAAAATATAGGAAGGGTGAATTTAATGAGGCTGCTATGCCTAAATGATTTGAAAGACAAATGGGCCCACGTGCCGAATATTTTACTCATATGTATATGTATACATTTTGTTTTGAAAAGGGGTAGCTAAGAGTTATGCCCATAATTATACTATCACCCTATTTTGAGGGTCTCACGTGAGAAACGTTAGTTACATTACATACAGTTTGCCCTCATCAGTACTTTTCTGTAGTACTGATCCCTCGGGGGAACCACCCTTTCAGGTTGAAGCTAGAGCTTACTTCCTGCACCCGTTGCTCGGGAGATCGATGGAGAGAAGACGTGGTTCGTGCTTCCTCTCGTTCTATTTTTAAATAATTAAATAATGCTCATGGAACTATTTTCACTTATAAATTAATGGAGCCTGCGAGCTTTTGTTTTACCCTTGTGTGGGTTCTTACTAAACACTTATATTCCGCTATGTGTTTGATTGTATGTTGATGTTGTTATGTATGTTTACTAATCGGTTTTTACATATGTATCTTTCGGACGTCTTGTATAATTCGGTAAAGATGAACTGCGGTTATTCTTATTGGGTTGTACGACGGTTGTCCACGTGGCACAGACGCGGTCTGGGGCGTGACAAATGTTGTGGTGAATACTGACATGACTGATTTATGGCATAAGAGACTTGGTCACATGAGTGAAAAGGGAATGTCTCTTTTGTTGAAGAGAAATGTGTTACCGGGTGTGCATGATATTCATTTAAAGAAGTGTTCTCACTGTCTGGCAGGTAAACAGAACAGGGTTTCCTTTAAGAGCCATCCTCTTTCCAGGAAGGAGAGTATACTTGATCTGGTGCATTCTGATGTTTGTGGTCATATGAAGACTAGGACACTTGGTGGTTGCTCCTACGTTGTCACATTCATTGATGATCACTCCAGAAAGGTATGAGTTTATACCTTGAAATCTAAAGATCAAGTATTTAAGGTGTTTAAGCAGTTTCATGCCTCGGTTGAGATTATTGTAGAGACCATGGTATTCGACATCAAAAGAGTCCTCCCAAGACACCGCAGTTGAACGGATTAGCAGAGCGGATGAACAGAACTTTGATGGAGCGTGTTAGATGTTTGTTGTCACATGCAGAGCTGCCAAATTCATTCTGGGGAGAAGCTTTGAATACAGCGGTACATGTTATTAATCTAACTCCTTGTGTTCCTTTGTCTTTTGATGTACCTGACAGGGTTTGGAGTGGCAAAGATGTTTCTTACCTTCATTTGAGGGTCTTTGGATGCAAAGCTTTTGTGCACATTCCTAAAGATGAAAGATCAAAGCTTGATGTGAAGTCCAAACCATGTGTTTTCTTGGGTTATGGCCATGATGAGTTTGGTTACAGATTATATGATCCAGTCCACAAGAAACTTATTCGAAGCCGAGATGTTGTGTTTGTGGAAGATCAGACCTTGAAAGATGTTGAGAAGAAAGATACAGTTCCTCAACATAATGATGATGTTACTGATTTGGATCCAGTGCCTCCTCAGCATGTAGAACCACCTCTTGATAATGATGTTCAGAATGATGAACACACTACTACATTTTTGGGACTATTGTAACGGTCAATTTCGTTACTATTGGTTCAAAAGTCTGTTACATTCTACAAAATGTAACAGTTTTGGGCCGTTACATTCGCTGGCGTTGCCTTTTCCCAAATGTAACGCTATGTAACGATTTTTAAAACTAATTGTAACGCTCTTCCCAACCAAATGAAAGTGTTACAATTGTACCAAAGTACAATTGTAACGTAGTACAATTGTAACGGTCTTTGAAGTGTAACACCTTACACCTATGAAAAATTATGTAACAGTTTATAATACGTAGTATATATTTATATATACATACACGTACTCAACGATTTAAAAAACTTGATAAACAAACAAATTAAAATATATAGGGCAAACATCAAATGACATTTATCATGTTTTTATTCAAATAAATAAGAGCATGATACAAAAAATAGGGGGGACATATACCTTACCCCTAAAAAACATAAGCACTTGTTCTCGTCTAATGCATGCAGGTTACCCCAGAAGTCTAAGATTAAAATACCTCCAAGTCTCTAACATTTGAGGGTAAGCTAACAATATTAAAATAAACAATGAAGTTACTACTATAAAAACTGAACTTGGTTAAATTAAGAATGACACTTTTGCACTACTTCGCCTCCCTGGGACAACTCTTTAATGTTACCCTTCCAACAGCCATAGCCATAACCAAGTCTAGAAACACGATGGAGCTAAGAGAATCAAATTTGACCTGAAATGGAGTATATTGGAGTTAACAAATGCTCAACGATCACTTAAAAGACAAATCATTCAAACATGGTAGATTTAATCTAAATTAAACAACATGCATCCACTAAAAAAATTAAAAGGATTCAAAAGTTGCTAGAAAGTATAAACTCTTATAATTCACCTTTGAACCAAGAGTATCAATTTTAAAGCCCCCCCAAAAAATAGTAACATAATCTGGCATAGAGTAATAGAATATATGATCCACTCATAGCTAATTAGCTAGCCTACATTTTTGTTTTCTTAAATCATTTTTTATTCATATTTAAGACAAAATTTATCCCTGCTCATTCATCCTCTTTTGGAAGTGTAACAAATGTACTAATACAAGTATGTAACATAATTTTAAAGGCAGGTGAAATTCATTCATATACTCATATTACATACCAGTGGTTTATATATTAATTGCTCTTGGATGCATAGTCTCATAAGACTTTAGATTAAGTTTGCAAAATCTCTGTATATCTAATACACCAACGAGGTAAATATACTATCAGTTAACCTTCATCATTGCTATTATCCTGAGATTATGTCATTCCAAAACTATCTAAATCGGTTGAGATATTAAAGTTTGCCTTTTGAGGGAACATGTTATGTGTTTGTTCTTACATTTTTTTCTTCCATCACTACATATTTGATCTTGTTTAGTTATTATATACTACGTACAAAATTAATTGAAACTTTCAACACAAGTTTATTATCTACATAATTTGAATGTCATAAACCAATGAATCAAAGAGATTACAGGGACAATAAATGCAGAACTCATCAACCAAAAGAACTAGATAACTTATACCTCTCAAATGAAAACCGAAAGTTGCCCAAATAAAACAAATGCAAATTTTAAGACACTTATCATGAGCAGCAGTATCATCTAAAACCTTCCAAAACACAAACCACATAAGAGACCCTAAAACTAGTTACTGCTAACATTTGTGAAAATCCTTGAACAACTTGTGGACTATATTGGAAGACTAGAAAATTAGGATATTTACCATTTTCCTAAAAACGTTAATACTTCGTATGATGTTGTGTTTTTAGTTGAACATTTTTCATTTAGCTTTTTTACTTTTGCTAATAATTCAAATAGATTGTACAATAGACTATACTTGTTTTGATCTAAAATGCTTCTCAAAAGTATCTAAAATAAATTTATTGACTTCATCCCATATCTCTCCCACCCCCACAATATCCTTCCAATTCTCCTATATGTTTTACTTCACATTTTTTTTCTTTAGTACTTCACTTAACAGACCCCAGGTGATCTGCAAATTGTCAAAGGGGTTGGGGGAACTATTGGTTGAGTATTCTTTATTCATGACTTGTATTGTTTTAAAATTATGTTGTGACTTGTGACATTTAACTGCAGCCACTGCACCCTATCATAAACCTATGGCTGCATTTCATGCTTCAGAATTTAAAACTAAAATAGTTCCATCAGAAAGTTTCTCAGACACATTAGATACAACAAGCTACAAGTTTCAGCCATTTTCTTAATGAGTAAAATCAGAGTGAACCCAACAATTGGTCAGATTTAACTCACACTACATTTCATTAAATAATGTAATAACTAACTGACTAAAATCATTTATAAAAAATGGCTAAAATCATAATAGCCCTCTTTTTGTTGTGTTTGGGGAAGGAAAAGCAAGCTTGAGAGAGCCATGAGCCCACATCAACCTATTCTTAACTAAAAGCTAACAAATATTACGGCTAGATATTATCCTTTTTTATGTTCATTCTTTCTAATAAGAAAAATAAGGACCGGGTAGAAATTATTACAATAAATGATTAAAAGCAGCAAGCAAACATGATGGGTTCATAGGAACAACAAGATAAAACACAAGTAATAAACAGAGACACCACTTGGGTGTGCTAGGCGCCCCAATCAAAGAAGAAAGTTGGAGATAAATACATATTTTATCCTCCAAAAGAATGTCCTGTAATTTCAGACCTAATGTAAAATGGGAAGTGAATGCTTTCAATAAATTTGTTCAAAAGAGTGCTGGAGATCGAAGTACAATCAAGTAACAAGAGAAAACGTACCTGCTCGCTGAAGAAAAGCTTGACCTAACTCTGTATCGCGGGCCTAGGTCGATCGATTCACAACTAGGTGAGGAGCTGTTCGTCGATTCACAACGTTGTCCCTATTCACGGGTGGGTGAGGAGCTGTTCGCCGGCCTAAGCTAGGTCGATCTATTTTTTGGGTGTCATGGGTAGAAGAAGACTATGCGACGGTTTGTGAGTAGAAGAAGAGATTCGAGGGTTTTGAGCGTAGAAGAGACGATGCTGTTTGATTAGATCTCCTGCTAACCAAGCCTAAAATGGTTTCAATTTTTGGGTACGCGGGTGAGTAAAAAATAAAGGCGGCTTAAAATTGTTTAGTTTAAAAAAAGACGGGCACGTAAGAACACACGTTTTAGGCTAAAATAAAAACTCACCCACGCACTCATTGGCGCGATTAAAAAAATAATCGCTATGATACACATCCGTAATAACAATGAGATTTTTACAAAAATATTACTAAAATAAATTTATTTACAAAAATATGATTATTAGTTACTAGTTACTACAATGTAGCGTGATAATAACTTAAACTTAAAATTGAACATAAGTTACTATGATTTCATTACTATTCTGGTCATTAATATCATTTTTGTAAATAGTCTTCATTTTAGTCATATACTTCGTATATATATATATATGTGTGTGTGTGTGTGTGTGTGTGTGTGTGTGTGTGTGTGTGTGTGTGTGTGTGTGTGTGTGTGTGTGTGTGTGTGTGTGTGTGTGTGTGTGTGTGTGTGTGTGTGTGTGTGTGTGTGTGTGTGTGTGTGTGTGTGTGTGTGTGTGTGTGTGTGTGTGTGTGTGTGTGTGTGTGTGTGTGTGTGTGTGTGTGTGTGTGTGTGTGTGTGTGTGTGTGTGTGTGTGTGTGTGTGTGTGTGTGTGTGTGTGTGTGTGTGTGTGTGTGTGTGTGTGTGTGTGTGTGTGTGTGTGTGTGTGTGTGTGTGTGTGTGTGTGTGTGTGTGTGTGTGTGTGTGTGTGTGTGTGTGTGTGTGTGTGTGTGTGTGTGTGTGTGTGTGTGTGTGTGTGTGTGTGTGTGTGTGTGTGTGTGTGTGTGTGTGTGTGTGTGTGTGTGTGTGTGTGTGTGTGTGTGTGTGTGTGTGTGTGTGTGTGTGTGTGTGTGTGTGTGTGTGTGTGTGTGTGTGTGTGTGTGTGTGTGTGTGTGTGTGTGTGTGTGTGTGTGTGTGTGTGTGTGTGTGTGTGTGTGTGTGTGTGTGTGTGTGTGTGTGTGTGTGTGTGTGTGTGTGTGTGTGTGTGTGTGTGTGTGTGTGTGTGTGTGTGTGTGTGTGTGTGTGTGTGTGTGTGTGATTATTTCTATAAAAAAACTAACGGCAAAAAGTTCGTCATTACTTATTACGACGGTTTTTTATGAACTCACGTTAAAAGTGTGACGTAATATCTCATTCTTGTAGTAGTGATGAAACTTTGATTTTGGAAATTTAATGAAAAAATGACGGAAACTTTCAATTTGAGAAATTTGGTTTGCCGCTTATTTTTTTTTTACTTTGGATACATACAAGCGTTACATTTAATTTAAACAAATGTAACACTTATTAAACCAAGGTAACAATGTTTTTGTTGATATAAAAGTGTTACATTAGAACACGACTAATGTAACAAATACTAAACAAATGTAACGGCTCGCTTCAAGGTGTTACAATACATCAACTTTTTATAACACTTTTGAACAAATGTTACAAATTTGTTGTTACATTAGACCCGAAAATGTAGTAGTGACAACATGATACTGATGCTCCAGAACAATAGAGGTGGATGAAGAATTTCATTCAGAGATACCAGTACCAGATGTGCCACCATTTGTCCCACTTAGGCGGTCTACAAGAGATCGTCATCCTTCCACCCGTTTTTCAGCTAATGAGTATGTCTTACTCACTGATGGGGGAGAGCCTGAGTGTTATGCAGAGGCCATGGAAGATGAGCACAAAAGGGAGTGGGTTGAAGCCATGCAAGATGAGATGAATTCCTTACATGAGAATAATACATTTGAGTTGGTGAAGTTGCCTAAAGGCAAAAGAGCTTTGAAGAACAAGTGGGTCTACAAAGTGAAGACTGAAGAGCACACCTCACAACCTAGGTACAAGGCTAGATTGGTGGTCAAAGGGTTCAAGCAGCGAAAGGGTATTGATTTTAATTTGATGAGATTTTCTCTCCAGTCATGAAGATGGGATCTATTCGTGTTGTTTTGGGTTTGGCAGCCAGCCTTGATCTTGAGGTTGAACAGATGGATGTCAAAACATCTTTTCTTCATGGTGACTTGAATAAAGAAATCTACATGGAGCAACCTGAAGGGTTTCAGGTTAAGGGAAAAGAAGGTTATATGTGTAGACTTCAAAATAGTCTTTATGGGTTGAAGCAAGCACCAAGTCAGTGGTACAAGAAGTTTGAGTCAGTTATGGGGAAGCAAAATTACCGAAAGACTACTTCAGACCATTGTGTTTT